CTTTCCAGCAGTGACTGTAAGATTTTGAGATCCATCTTTTCACACTGAGGACAATTGAGGGACTCAAACACAACTATTAAAAAAGGTTCAAACATTCACTGATGCTCCAGAAGGAAACACGATGCATTAAGGGTGAAAACTTTTGAACATGATGATGTCCCAATTTTTCTGAAATATAATTTTTTCCCCATTTAGTACTGCCCTTCGGAAGCAACAGAAGATACTTGCATGTTTCCCGGAAGACAAATTAAGTACAATCTACCTTGATCTTCAAATTCAAAAAGTTTTCACCCCCCAGCTCTTGCATCGTGTTTCCTTCTGGAGCATAAGTGAATGTTTGAACCTTTTTAATAGTTGTGTTTGAGTCCTTCAATTGTCCTCAGTGTGCTGGAAAACTGAAGGACCTGGAGGATTTTTCGGAGGAACAGTGCTCAGTTTAACTGTTCAGAACAAACAAGGGGACTCACGAACAACCATCACAAAACAAAAAACAGTGGTAGATCATCCAGGTAACCACACACACAGTATTAAGAAACATTATTTTTATAATTTCAGCTATTTTTTTGTCTTGTGGACTAAATGTAAACATCTTTTATGTAAAATATCGTACTCAGGACAGTACTAAATAAAAAATAACAGGCATTTTGCATGATCTCTCTTATTTTGTTAAAATTATTCACATTTTCACAGATTCTGCAAGGGGTTCCCAAACTTTCGCGTGTCACTGTGTATATATTATATACATATATATACAATTAATGAATTAATACATTTAATAAAATTTTTATTTTATTTTTTCTACTTTTCTTGTTTTAAGCACAAATCTGACAAAGATAAGTGAGATATTAAAATGTTTCTATTTTCCAACGGGGTAGAAAAAAAAATTCAATCGCTAGTTTTTCCACTTTTTCCACGGTCTTTTGCATGTTCCCTCTTTTTTTGTTTAAATTATTCACATTTTCACAGATTCTGCAAGGGGTTCCCAAACTTTCGCGTGTCACTGTGTATATATTATATACATATATATACAATTAATGAATTCATACATTTAATAAAATTTTTATTTTATTTTTTCTACTTTTCTTGTTTTAAGCACAAATCTGACAAAGATAAGTGAGATATTAAAATGTTTCTATTTTCCAACGGGGTAGAAATAAATTCAATTCGCTAGTTTTTCCACTTTTTCCACTTTATATTTTCCACTTTCAATGAACTATTTTTCATAATATCTTATGCAGTTTACTTGCAGTTTTTTAGTCTTGTTTTAAGACAATTTACTTTTTTTTTTTACTGAAAAACAAGAAAAAAATGCATTAAGAAAATATATTTTTTTCAGTGCATATACAGAATTACTCCGTTTTTTAATATAAATGATAAAGAAAAAAGGGGGAATCATCCAACAAGTTTTAAAAGACAACATTAAGTCAACCAAAGCAACCTGAAACCAAGGCATGACTGGGATTTATGAGACCTGCTGTCCAACAAATCTAACAAAATAATAATACAAATATCAAGTAAAAGGGAAATAAACAAATCAGCAGTGTCTGATGTCATTGTCTCAGGCACAGAAACGAACGCAAGAATTCACTAATCCTTTACTAATCAGACTGAGACTCAACTAATGCCACAACTCACACACACACAAACACTCACTCACTCACCACAATCTCTCATCCTCCCCAAATGAATATAACCAAACAAGTTCAACATCACCCGATCTAACAGGGTTCATGACATCAGGGTTCTAATTAAGCAAAAATTCAATATACTGTACAACACAAGCAACTACCCTACTTTCAAAACTACTTTATTTAATTCTATGTAAATGGTTTCACTAGATTGGAGTTTGGGTGAGTGGCCAGAGCTGAGCTATTTAACACATCTAACCTACTTGTTATCTTTGACATTTTCCTCGATAACCTGATTAAACACAGAAGAAAGTGTAATAACATGTCTCTCTCAAAGCCTTTAGGAACACACACACACTTTATAGATATGTGCATTTTGGGACACAACATCTCTTGTGTACAAACCTCTTCCTCCTCCTCCTCAGGGTCCACTATTGCATCCAACTTTATTTAAAAAAAATAATAATAATGTTAATTATATTCTTTACATATTTCTAGAGTCTGCTAACAATTATCTATGAGAAAAATCAAACCTTCAGGTTGAAAGTCATTCGCAACGGCTCAAAAACGACACATTTTCCTACCAACTAAAGAGATCTAAATTCTAGTCATACCCTGGCCTCCTCTGTGGCAATCAGAGGAGAAAAGACACAAATGCGGCTTTAACATCAGCCAAAACAGTAATGAACGCAATACAAGCTAAGTATAATGAAATTATCAAAGTAAAAAATAACAGCTGTGAAATTAGCACAATCTGTTATTTATATCATTCCTAAATAAACCTGCAAGCCAAACGTTGACCGTATAAATGACAACTCAACAAAGCTGCATCAAGTTCATCTGGACACAACAGGGAAAGAGTTCTCTTAATATGCTGAGAGAGAATACAGGCCAGCACCTGATGTCCTCTGATGTCCCAGACAAATGAGGAGAGGACAAATGACTTTGCTTAAAGAAGGTCACCTTCCCCTGCTGCTCTCCTACCTGTTTGGCACCCATTGATTCAAACATCTTCTCAAGCTGGACACGCAACTGCTGGACATTATTCATCAAGACGCATGGCTGAGGACAAAGAGAAAGACACGAGAGATTTATTAGAAAAGATGACAACTAACAGAAACATCAGTGTTAACTACCAGGAGAACAACTTACAATCTTCTCCTTATCACAATAGGACGGGAAGCTCTTCTTCAAAATGGCACTGTACTGTAGCAGAACTTTGTCAATGGTCTGTGAAGACAAAGAAATAAGAACTCAGCTTAACGTTTTTCAAAAGTCGGTAGCATTACCAAACAAACAAATGAAAAAGCAGGCTAACATTTTAGGAAATATAGCAGAAACTCTCTGGAGCTCATCTTAGCACTCAGCGCTTTGCGTTTGCTATCTTAAAACTGTTGGAGATCAGAGCAACAAGCTCTCCACGTGTCTGATAAAGGATCTAGAGGGAGCTTTGCATTTCTCTCAGAGAAGCTGGCCAGACTTGCTCTGGGGACTGACTGAAGCTTAATGGAAATGGCTGCACTAAGCATTTTCATTTGCTTACAACAGAATCTCATTCTTTCCGACAAATGTTTTTGCTCCAATTATATTCTTCATTTGCTCCGCACTGAGATACGCTTTGGCTAAAATAGGGCCATTCTCTCAGAAATCTCAGATAGTTCTAGAAACAAGATAATACTTTGACAGCTGACATTTGTTCTGACATGAATCTATTTGTAATCGGATTAGGAGGGATGCTTGTCCACCTTGGCGAACCGGCGGCTGTAGAGGGCCATGACATTGGGGTCGGGACACTCCAGTTTCTTGATGATCTCAAAGCTCTGGTTGAGCTGGGTGAAGACATCCACCACTGAACAGGAGAAGAGAGCGTGCTCTGATGTCTGCTGGAACTGTAGCGGAGATAGAAGCACATCATTGAAATGCCATTTCCATTTCAGATTTTTTATGTGTGTGTGTCAGGTCAGGTTACCTTTATTTATATAGCATGATTATTAGACAATTTGCATGACTATCCGTCACTATATAGTTATGAGCGTGGTGTGCTTTTCTTAAATTAATAGTTTACCTAAAAATGAAAATGTGCTGAAAATTTACTCATGCTCAGGCCATCCAAGATGTGGATAAGTTTGTGTCTTCATGTGAACAGATTTGGAGAAATGTAGCATTACATCACTTGTTCACCAATGGATCCTCTGCAGTGAATGGGTGCCGTCAGAATGAGAGTCCAAACAGCTGATTAAAACATCACAGTAATCTTTTTTTTTTCTTCCTCCTGCTTGTTTAGATATTTGTATGCTTAAATTATTGTGACTATATGTTCATAGGTATGTAGACATATATTATGCTTGCTTTGTTTTTTTGTTGTTGTTTATTTTTCCCTTTCTTAATTCTGTAACAATTTGATACTTGTATTGTGCCTTGAGATGCTTATGTGCTTTTCTTCATCATTTACTCACCATCATGTCGTTCCAAACCCATAAGACTCCTTCAAAACACAAATTAAGATTAAGATATTAAATTAAGATAAAAAAAACAACAACTCTAGTCCATCAATAAATGACTTGTGAAGCAAAATGCTGCGTGTTTGTAAGAAACAAATCCATCAAGGCATTTTAACTTAAATTGTCTCTTCTGGTCAAAATATGAACCCATAATCCATAATAACACTTCCTCCAGGGAAAAAGTCCATCCCCTGTTGTCCTCCCACATCAAAATCTACCAGCATAATTTTTTCAGAACTGTTTGGACTGTTTTCCCTTGTAAACAGTGCTTGATCGGTGCATATTTCTCCCCTGATTCAGACAAGACAACATTTTCACTGGAAAAAGGCAATATTATGAATAAAGCACATGTATTTTAGCCAGAAGTAACCGTTAAAAACATCTTGATGATGGATTTGTTTATTACAAACATGTAGCTTTTCTCTTCACAAGATGATGGACTGGAGTGGTGTGTTTATTGTGATGTTTTTATCAGCTGTTTGGACTCTCATTCTGACGGCACCCATTCACTGCAGAGGATCCACTGGTGAACAAGTGATGTAATGCTAAATTTCTCCAAATCTGTTCAAATTACGAAATATATTATTTTCCATATTGGATGGCCTCATTTTTATTTTTTTTTTCTTTGGTTAACTATTCCTTTAACAAGCACGAAGAAATAAATTTTTGTATTTTATAATTGCTCTTGAAAAACTTGCAGATGGCAAAAATGTTAAACTGTTAAATAGTTTTGAAAGGCAAAATGACCCGTTTGTGGGCACAAGAGCATCATAAAGGCCAAGAAACACTTCAGTGATGAGAATGTGTGAAAGATAGCTGGCTATTCGAAGGGAATTGCACTGAAAAACATCTTACTCCATCTTTTTTATCTCTCTCCAGGGCTCCATGCATGAACTCCATGGACACATCCTCGTTCTCATCCAGCCACTGCAGCACAAACTGTTGGAACCACCTGGAAAAGGCAAGACATAATGTGAACAAATATCAAAAGTGCTTTAACTTTGTGTTTGCTAGTTGAGATGATGAAGAGCTCACTCACGTAGGGTATTCGGGCACAACTCCCTTGAAGGTTGGCAGATCCTTCACGTATTCGTTATACAGCCATTTGACCTTGAAGTGCAGGTTCATGTAGTCTGCACTTTTACACAGCCGGTGTTTTTCATGTTCTGTCGAAAAAGAATGTGTGAATATGAACAGCATTTGGTGGCTAAACAAAAAGGTCATGTCATCTCCAATATACTAAATCAATGGACCAAACTGTTACTGACCTTCCATGGCGTACTTCATATCCTGAGAGAACTGATTCCACATGACCTCTGCACTCAATTTCCCAACGTTCAGTTCCTGAGGAAACCTGTGGAGAAACAGGAACAAACAGACACATGATGGCAGGAAAATAAGAGATGGATAGGGTAAATATTTCAGGTTTGTGTGCACACTCACTGGTTTAAGACAGGGGTGTAGGAGTTCCGGTCCTCCTCAATGATGGACACTATAAGGGTAATGAGTTTGGGCCAGAAGTCTAAGTTTTTGATGCTCGGGCCCTGATCTTCTGGGGTGCTCTCGTCCTTATGCTGACAAAAAAACAAACCAACAAACAAACAAAAAAAATTAAATTAAAAAATCTGTATCATTTGCTTGATTCACTGTAAATTAATTAATTATAATTAATCATTTAATTATTATTATATAATTCAATTCAAATAATCATTTAAGTTTTTTTATCATTAAGTTTTAATTTATCCTTTAACACAGACATTTTAAATTATTAAAAATATACATTTTACACTGTGAAAACAGTGTTATTATTGTTAACTAAAACTATAAAAAAAACTTAAACATACAACAAAACATAAAATTTGCTTTTGTTAATTGAAATAAGGCTGAAATAAAACAATAAAAATATTAGATAAAATCTTAAACTTAAAAAGAAAAGAAAAGAAAATGAGAAATGTTGCATTGGCAACTATCTGAAATAAATACTAATACCAACACAAAAAAAGCAGGAAAAAAAGGCAACAAAAAAAAAATCAAGGACATGAGAAAATTACTAAAATTAAAAGGAAAACTGAAAATATGTAAAAGCAAACTCAAAATATGAATAAATGCTAAAAAAGTATTACAATAGTAATAATTAATAGTAATAAATAGTTTGCAATAATAAATATAATTATAATAATATAAGTAGTCATTCGCTGTTGATCTCCCATGAAAAGTGTAAACAAAGGAAAAAACCCAAAAAATTTTTAAGAACGTTGTGTCATTCGCGAGACGCTACAAAAGATGCTGAGATGCGAGCACAACAGTCAAACACGTCCGTCTAGGGCGTTTACACAGAACAATGATGGAAAAGTAGTGCAGAAGAAAGGAAAAACGCGTTTCTGTGTGAACAGCTCCTTTAAATGGTGTGCTTAGGCATCCTCAACAGCCCAGCAGAGCAACACCAGCTCAACCAATGGCGCTAGTCTGGGGGTGAAGCTGTTTATGCCACACAGTTTGGTGAAGCTTGTGGCCCACAGATGACACACTTCAGCTTTAAATCATGTGAGAATTCAAAGCATTACAGTCATAAACTGTAGGTGGTAGATGAACGATTGTCTAACCGTGTCTCCGATCTGAGGATATTGGCGACTATACAGCTCCTGACAGTTGTTGAAGATGTAGTCATACGTGGAGTTGAGGCAGGCTTTGACACAGTCTCGCACAACCTGACTAGCTCTCGGCGGACTCTGCAGTTCCTGGACCTGTCCAGAGTGAGACAGTAAACAGTAAAAATGAAGGACAAAATGAGCACTGATGGAAAATATAGATTGGGGATCAAAACAGACTTTTTTTTTTTCTTCTTTACCTTCATTCTGAAGAAAGTGATGCTGGTCAGGAGGTCCACTGTAGATTTAAGGTCCTGTAAACGTTCCTTACTGCTCGCAGGGAAGTTGTTCTGAGAAGGAGAAGAGACAGGAACTGATAATTCACCAATGTATGATCTAAAAATTGTAAATGAAAAAAACGGTTTAAACCGCCATCACTCACTCGATACATTGAGAGGTCAATGCGCAGGGAATTGTGCAGCTGATCCAAGAGCTTGACAAACCTTTCTTTCTGCAAGACAAGAAAAATTAAGCAAGATTTTCAGCCATCCAGGACACCGAGTGGAAATATTTAGCTAATGCATCAATATATACACATACAGTGCACAAGGACAACTCTTAAAAACATTATGGGCCTTTTTGGTCTTTTTTAGAGATTGATAATATGAATCAAAATCCAATTTTTGTTGTCATACAGATGGAACAACATGAGCTGGAGTAAATAATGATTTTGAGTCAACTAACCCTCTAAGTGCTAATGACAACATGACGTTAGCAAGCGTATTTTTCCAAAGGCAACTTACTGTAACAACATCAAACAACTGACACTGTTGTCTAGACAATATAATTACAGCTTGCAATTAGCTCAAGTGTTCCAATCCATAATGGTGACATTAAATTGTGGGTCCCATGGTGCTTTACTTAGCTGGTCGGTCAATACAAGACAAAAAAACTGCTACAATAGACACCTCCATTTTCAAAATGGTGTTTCGATTTTGCACTATTTCCTGGTTAAGCACCTGAATATGTTCAATGGTTTAGTGCTGACACATTGAAACTGTCAAATATTTATATGAAACAAAAAATAGGATTTTCTGTGCTTCTCTTCCATAACTTTATCTACCATACTTCCTCCATCATTTACACAAGCTTCACAAATGATCAGAAGTTCAGAATATTAAAAAACTTTTCAGTGTTTTTAGTTCGATGACAGTTATCAGCATTTTGTATTACATCTAAACATGCTAATTCTTTGCAAAAAAAAGCTACCACAATTAATTACTTGGCATCTATGAAATAATAACAAAAAAAGAAAAAGAAAAATTAAATAAATGATCTTGCCCATGCTTTTATGTGTATGTGTTCTTTACAATCTGTGTGATAGTCGAACACACCCCAAAGTTGGATGCAGCAAATCTGTCGCTAGCGGAGACATTGGTGGATGCAGTGGTGTGGGCGTAGTAGGCGTTGATGTTGGCCAGCAGGGTGCTCATCACAGCAGGGACCCCGGGACACATATACTTAGATGAGAGACATGCAAAGTGCCTGTACAAACAAAGAGAGGAGAGATGCAGAGGATAAAAGTGCTTCTCTTCAAACACATCCACTATACATCCACTTTGTGCAAAGAAAGACAATCACTCTATTCCAAAACCTAGGTAGGCCTAGATACACTCCTGACGAGAAAGCAGTTTCAAAAGGATTATACTATAAAGATCAAACTGTCTTCAAAAATGCAGTCATGTAGATTTTGAAGACAGCATCACATTTATTCTTTTAATCCCAGAATGCATTGCAATAAGCTAAGTGAAAAAATAAATCCAAGATGGCACGCAAGACAAGAGACATGTTAATTATAAATAAACCTTTAAAAATAGCTCAGCGTAATTAGTGTACATGCAATTAAATGATTCACTTATTAAATGCAATTGAAATGTTACCCAGTATTTGTAAATTAATATTTGTGTATTGTACAGTTAGCTTAGCAACATGCTAACGTCAAACTCTCTTTGTTAATATTTTGAATGACATTTTATTTTTATATTTTCTGTTTTCATTGTAATTTTGTTGTGTTTCTGTAATTTTGTGTTGGTTTTTTTTTTTTTTTAAATATGTCTATATAGTTTTTACTGAGTTTTAGTATATTCAGTTTTAGGTATTTTATTACTTCAACTTATTTTTTTCTGGCCTTGTGGCCCATTCAGAGTGAGTTATGACCGCTTGCGTGTGCTTTATCGGAGCGATGTGCTCCATTAATGAGCATCTCCTCACCCTCCTGACTCCTGATCGAGACTGACTCGTACTCAAGCCATTAACATTCACAGACATCAGGGGCCCCGTTCTTCGTATGTCGCTAACTCAGTTAGCTGGATTTGATTGTTGACGATTTGGCATGATCTTGGATTGTTAGGTTCTTCGAAGCTCATCCTGGAGTTGCTGTCATAGCAACAGGTCCGCAAGCTTAAACCTGCTCGGGAGCAGGCTTATTTCATGTAAACAGGATTAGATTGCACCTTTTTAAGCAGAATTGCTACTTAAAATCTGTCCGCTACCACCGCTACTTTATTACAAGAGTACCCTACTAATCCAGGGACAATAATTTAAAATAATAATTTAAAAATGTATTTAAAGATAATATAATAATGTAGTCTTTAATACTATAGACACAGCCGGTTTTACTCACTGAAAGATTTATTCGTCATAAAATTATTACTTCATAATTGTATTCGAGTCTTACATACATGCTATACAGATAATGTAGAGTCGTGCATTCATTTGAGTGCTGACAGAAATTATGGGAGTGGCTTGAAGGAGCGCAGGAGATGCAGATAACATGATCTTGACCCTTAAGAAACTTTACTTAATGCTGTCACGTAACAAATCTGTTCAAATATAAAATTTAATTAATTGCTAATTACTACATTGAAATAAAAATGTAAAGCCTGTACAAATATTAGAAATCGTGAATATAAATAATTGGGAATCATGTAAAGAACTGAAATAAAATAAAAACAGTGCACATTTAATTGATCTATTATAACATTTATGTAGTTTTGTTCGCTTGGCTGTTTCCTTATAAAAGTCAAAAAATTGGTCAAGTTTTTCGTCAGGCGTCTTTTTTAATTATATGATGTCATTACGTTGCTGTCTTGCCGCCAGCCAATCGCTGCATTGCTGATCGTGGTTTCGAGTATCGATACATAGCCCCTTTTAAACCAACACATGAACATGCAATTATCTCAGATAACTCAATCCAGCCAGACTAATCATCAACAACAGCTGCGTTCGAAGAACCCAGTTCAGAAATGTAGCATTACATCATTTGCTCACCAATGGATCCTCTGCAGTGAATGGGTGCCGTCAGAATGAGTCCAAACAGCTGATAAAAGCATCACAATAACCCACACAACTTCAATAAATGTATTGTTACTGTGTGTTTGTAAGAAACAAATCAATCATTAAAATGTTTTTAACTTCAAACCGTTGCTTCTGGCCAAAATACAGTTAATTAAAAAGTTAAAAACGCCTAATGATGGGTTTGTTTCTTGCAAACATTTCACTTCACAAGACATTAATTGATGGACTGGAGTGGTGTGGATTATTGTGATGTTTTTCTCAGCTGTTTGGACTCTCATTCTGACGGCACCCATTCACTGCAGAGGATCCATCGCTGAGCAAGTGATGTAATGCTACATTTCTCCAAATCTGTTCTGATGAACGAAACAACTCATCTATATCTTGGATGGCCAAATGTATGTGATGTTTAAAGAGCTAGTGTTTTAATAAGAAAGATAAAATTAGAAATGAAGGAACAGAATGAAAAAATATGAAGAAAACATACGTCATGGCCTGGTAGATGGATTCAATCCCATAGCGCATCGCAAATTCATCCACTATCTCTTGCGGCACATCGTCAAAGAAAACCTTCCAGGCATCATCGCCACAGGCTTCTGGGATTTTCACCACACCCTGACCGAGGACATCTGTGATGTGATGAAAGAGGTTCTACGAGAAACAACAGAGACTAAATATTAGTGACTAAAAGACTAACATCATCTGCCTGATAATGAGAGATCTGTACATGGTAAATGCATGTCAGGCAGATGCTGTGGTGTCTGTGAGCTGGTTGTGCTGCTCTACCTCATGTAGACAGGTGTACTGGACGTGGTAGGGGGCCACTTTCTCTTCACCCTTAATTTCCACACTGATCCGAAGACGGATGGCACCAGAAACAGCAGACTTGTCCGTTCTTTTCTCTGTGGGGTCAGATATGGATGAATAATTAATGTATGTGCAGAGATATTTAACCCATGGGAACAGTGCAGCAACATTACTGCTCAGGATTAGACAGGATCTCAATGTATTTGATTGTTTGTGTGTGTATCCACAATAAAACTACCTTGCCAAGGGAATTGCATTTACTTGATGATTTTGGATTTTAAGAGGGCAGTAAGAGCAAATAAAAACTAAATTATAATATATGAAGTATAATAATTAGGTTAGTCATTTACATGAAATATACTGAGATGTTTTGCTGATTTGGTTATCTCTCAAACTCAAAATTTAGATTTAGTCTATTACAAAACAGACTGTGCCATGTGTTTACAACTTTAATCACAAGAAACAATAAATCACACACTTGAAAGTTAAAGGTAGGGTAGGTGATTTCGGAGAGGCTAGCGATAGCAAGCTAGCTTTGAAAGCATAAGATCCCACCCTCCCAGCAATCACTCTCCAAAGCCACGCCTCCTCACGCACAGGCAACATTTTATAATCCTATACCTTCCACAGATTATACAAATACATACAGTGCCTTGCGAAAGTATTCACTTTTTTTTCTACATTTTGTTATGTTGCTGCCTTATGATAAACTTCTTTAAACTACTTTTTTCCCACATCAATCTACACTCCATACACCATACTGACAAAGCAAAAACAGATGTCACAACTTTGTAAATGTATTAAAAATAAAAAACTGAAATAAGTACATTGCGTAAGTATTCACTTATTAACTAAATATTTCGCTGAAGCACCTTTACAGCCTCAAGTCTTTTTTTGTTTGATGCGACAAGCTTTGCTCATCAGCATTTGGCAATTATCTGCCATTCTTCACCTCACCTCTTCACCTCTCAAGCTCTGTCAGGTTGGATGGGGCAGATGCACATTTTCAGGTTTCTCCAGAAATATTTGATTGGGTTCAAGCTCAGGCTCTGGCTGGGCCACTCAAGGACATTCACAGAGTTGTCTATAAGCCACTCTTGCTGTGTGCTTAGGGTCATTGCCCTGTTGGAAGGTGAACCTTCTGCCCAGTCTGAGGTTCTGCTCTGGACTGGGTTTTCATTAAGGATAACTCAATATTTTGGTGCATTGAGCTTATCTTCTACTCTGACGAGTCCCTCAGTCCCTGCCACTGAAAAACAGCCCCACAGCATGAGGCTGCTACCAGCACACTTTACTTTTGGGATGGTACTCTGCAGGTGATGAGCAGAGCTGCTTACCTTCAAACATGATGCTTAGAATTGAGGTTCATCAGACCAGGGAATCTTGTAAATTCCAAGTGTGTTTTCGTGTGTCTTAACTGAAGAGAGGATTGAGTTTGGCCACACTGCCATAAAGACTGGATTGGTGGAGTGTTGCAGCGATGTTTGTCCTTCTGTAGATTTCTCCTATCTCCACATATAATCATGGAGCTCAACTAGAGTGACCATCAGGTTGTTGGTCACCATAGTAGCCAAAGCCCTTCTCCATCAATTGCTCAGTTTGGCCAGGAGGCCAGCTCTAGGAAGAGTCCTGGTTGTTTCAAACTTCTTCCATTAAGGGTAACAGAGACTACATGCTTCTGTGACCCTTCAGTGAAGCAGAATTTTTTTCTGAACTCTTCCACAGATGTGTGGCTTGACACAAAACCTGTTTCTGAGCTCAACAGTCAGTTCTTTTGACCTCACCTACCCTGCCTTTAATTCATGTTAATTCACAAGCACAGCCAACATGAAATAATACATAGGCTGATCATCATGACAGCGCCTCTGGTGTTTACAGCACATTTTTTATTACTTCTGTCTGCACTGGGAGATGTACACGTTCCAGAACAGCAAACAGAATCAAACTTCATGAGAATCATTTTGGTTCTAATACTTGCTTCACTAGTGGTACAAATTGTAACTAAATCTGAATAATCTTCAAATAAATGAAACAAATCAAAAGAATCTGTGCGCTACAAAGATGTTTTAGCCCATGTTCTTGAGCTTGATTTTATAAAACTGCACTAAAAATAAAATTATATATATAAAAAAAAATTTTTACAAATATTTGGCATAAGCAATGTTTATTCAAAGTAATATTGTTTATTATCCAAACAGTAAGATAATTGGTAACTGCAATTATCTTACTGTTTATTCAAAGTAATATTGTTTATTATCCAAACAGTAAGATAATTGGTAACTGCAATTATCTTACTGTTTATTCAAAGTAATATTGTACTTTGAATAAACAGTAAGATAATTGCAGTTACCAATTATCTTACTGTTTGGATAATAAACAATATTACTTTGAATAAACAGTAAGATAATTGCAGATTCATTAAACATTAAAATTACAAATATTTGGCATAAGCAATGTTTATTCAAAGTAATATTGTTTATTATCCAAACAGTAAGATAATTGGTAACTGCAATTATCTTACTGTTTATTCAAAGTAATATTGTTTATTATCCAAACAGTAAGATAATTGCAGTTACCAAGCCAGTTTTATATTTAGATTTTCAGTTTTCATTGTAATTTTAGTTTAAGTTTTAGATTAATTTTTTTACATTTCTATTCAATTTGAATAATTATTTTTTTTGTTCCGTTTAATAAATCTAAAATGTTTATTATTTTCATGTTTGATATTCAGCTTTTCTCTCTCCAAACTGAAAAATCCTTAGGAGTTTTTTTTAATAGAAACACCAGGTTCTTCTTTCTCTAACCATTTTCCCTGACAGGCAAATTATTGGGATAATTTATGTGTCGGCTCAGTGGTGAATTTCCGACAGGAGTGTACTACATAATAATCAAGGAGGATATCTGCTATCTGGAGGGAGAGGGAGAGAGGGAGAGAGAGAGAGAGAGGGAGAG